GAAGGGAGTCATCCTAGAGGCAAGATGTTGGAAGGCTTCGATGACTGAGGGATACAGAGCGCCATTTTCCCCTTTCCCAGGAGTGATACAGAAGCAATTCTGGAACTATTGCCTGAGCCCAGGGGGTCTGAGCTCATAATTTTCTGTCATCCTGGTTCTCTGTCTTCCAGAGGGCCTGGAATAGACCAACTTGCTGTCCCTGTTACAGTGGAAAGGGACTTATTCCATTGTTCAGGATTCCAGCTATGCCGTGGCCCATTCTCATAATGCAGCACGTTCTGCATGTGCCTCCTGCTAGGTCAGCTGCTCTTCCCACCTCCGAGAGGGCTGCCAGTGACCCAGCTGTGAAGCCAGCCACCTGTCTGGAAGCCTTTCGCCACCCGCTCTACAAGAGCATGTTCCAGCATCTTCTCCGCACCAAGTCTGCTCCCGAGGATGCCCCAGAGAGGTAGGAGACTGCCGCAAGGGTTCGGTTCAGCTGTCCGGCTCCGGGAGGCAGCACCCCAGTGCTGGGAAAGGCATAGCTGCTCTCATCTGGGTTGAGGTGGATTTGATCTTCCCTGTGTTAACTTTGCCATGCACTCAGTGACCTTGGGGGGGGATACAGAGGGCAGCCAGGAGAGTAGCTGGGAACAAGCATTCAACAGTAACTCTTCTTTGCCCACAGGCTGATTCCACTTCGGCAGCTGCTGGGATCCCTGGCCAGCAGCCCAAGGGTCGTGCAATGTTCGGAGACTGTCCCTGTCTTACTGGAGCTCTTTTTCAGGGTGGTGGCAGAGGTAGGCCCTTTTGGGGGAGTTTGGCTCCCAGTCGTGCCATGGGGATCTCTGTTACGTGAAGAGCAGTTATAGAAGCAAAATTGTTAGGGCACTGCAGCTTCAACAGAGGGGTGCATGAGGGGAGGGTGGGATGGTCTAATACTAGCATGAACCAGCACTGAGCCAGCTACTTCATCTGGAGAAGCAGAAAAGCTCCGTGGTGCAGTGTCATTCTTCACACTGCTCTCTCAGCCAGCTGTAAAGGAGGTGGGTGAGACAGAACAAGTGCCTGATACCTGCTTTGTGCACTGTTCCCCTCCTGCTAGATTGGGCTGTTTCTGTGACAGCTGTCTTATCTGGCTGGTTAGTTTGTTTTATGGCTGATGGAAGTCACTGGTATTGCTGAAACAAGGGCTGTTTTTCAGTTTGCAGATGGCCCACTGATAAACCAGTTGGTGGTGCTGCTGCTGCAGAGGAGTGACCAGCTCTATGAGATCCCGGCATTTAAAGATGAAGTGTACAGGTGAGATGGGACAGGAGGCCCAGCCGAGCTCCCAGCCCTTCCACTAGCTGCAGCCTGGCATCCCAGGGCAGCCCAGGAGCCTTTTCAGTTGTGGCCCAGTACCTGCTGCAACACATCTTTGGAGGGTGCAAAAGAGGAATTGCACCTTCAGCCCTGCTGGAAGCATCCTGAGCGTCCAGCCACTGCTAGCGGCTGGGTGCTGCCAGCACCTCCTCGGTTTGGTGATGATTGCCTTGCCCGTGGTCTGAGCTCTCCCCATCTCTCCCCTCCAGGGTGCTGAGCTCGCAGCTGGTGATGCTCTGCAGGCTGCACCCTGCACTCATTGTGGAACTGTCCAAGGAGATTCTGGAGTTCTCGGGAACAGTCAGCAACATCCAGAACAAGGAGGCCATCTTCACCCACGTGGTAAGCAGAGCCTGCTTGCTTCTGCCACACGTTGCTCCAACTGCAGTGCAATCTGTTGGTCACCTTCCCTTTCCGCCTCTCCTCTGTCCTAGCATTAGCTAATCTGATTTGCCATTCACTAAAAATTATTCGATCTCTTTTCCTTCTGCTTGCCCTGAGCACATCTGCCTTCGCTTCAGGTCTGGGCTATTGGAGAGTACCTGTCTGTGTCCTATGACAAGCGCTGCACTGTGGAGCAGATCAACCGGTTCTTTGAGACTCTAGAGGCCATGCTATTCGAAATCACCCAGCTCCGACCACTGGCTAGCACCCCCAGCTACGCACCTCGTGCCATCAGTGTCCTTATGGCCACCTTGACCAAGCTGGCAGCTCGCAGCCAGGACTTGATCCCCAGGTGAGGAGGGATGGCAGGGAAGGGCGAAGGGCTGAAACATGCAGATCTAATGGGTCCAAACACAGATGTTGGCTAGTGTTAAATAATCAAGCTTGGCAGCTGCTGGAACCTGAAACTGAAACAGGACTGAGGAAGCAGGCTGTGGAGGAGGGCGTATGGGGAAGTGGGATTCATCTGCTGACTAACACTCTGCATCAGCAGGAGGGGGTGGGTAGCATCTGGTGTTCACCTACAACAGTCTTTTGGAGTACACAGGCTTAAGTAGTGACCTTGCTGGGTGCAGAGATCCTGCCAGCTGATGTCCATGTCCTTCTTTCCTGCAGAGTGTCCATGTTCCTGTCCAAGATGAGGACATTTGTGCAGAGCCCTGCTGTCACCTCTGTTTACCGTGAGGAGGACCTTGAGGAGATCCTGATCCGGGCAACTGAGCTCATGAACCTACTGAAAATGCCAAGCGTGGCTCAGTTTGTGTTCACGCCACCTGTAGATGTGGCCAGTACACGGTTTCAGAGAGAGGTGAATGACTCCCTCCCTTTTGCCCTGAGGATAGTCACCCGTCTCCTAGAGCCAGCTCCTGGCTTCATGCCAGGGTGAGGGCATGAGGTTTCTGAGAGGCTCCAGCCTCTATTGCAACTCATCGGACACTGCTGACGCCCTGCTCTGAACTAGGAATGAGGAACAAATGTTTGTGAATGAAACAGAAAACAGGAATAAGTAAAGCTGCGTCAGCTTTTCTGGTACAGGCTGTTTGTATTTCTGTCTCCCTAAGTTTGTCTTATCTGTCCCTGGCCAGTGTGGATTGAAAATCCCAGGGGATTTGTGTGGATGTGGCAGGAGGGTGCGTGCATGCGTTAATACACTGCCAGTACACCATGCCCCTTTGGACATGTACCTCTTCTTCCCTCCCCTCCTCTGACTTGTTTCTCCCTCCTGTTTGCCCTCGCTACACCCTGGCTATGCATGTGCTGCTTTTATTGCCTCCCTGCTTGCAGCAGATCAGCCAAGCAAAGGCCTGGGCAAAGGTGGAGAAAGCAGACGTGACTCCATTAATTCTGCTGTGAGCCCTCACTGCTCTTCTGTCTTACCATCTGAGTGAACATGTTGAGATCCAAGAGACAGCTACCAGACAGGAGCTTAGAGAGATTTATTGATCCAGTTTATTTTTGACACCCAAGAGCATTTCTTAACATACATCAGCCCTGTGTCAAACAGGCGCCATGCTGTGTTCTGTATCTGCATGAGAAGTTTATACACATTCGAGCTGTACAATATCAACAAATGGGGGAAGTAAATACGTCCCACTGCTCCTCCCAGGAGAAGCAAGCCCTCACGCACACTAGTAAATAGCCGGGTTTATTTACAGTCTGTTTCAATACCTGACTGCACTGTGAGCAAGAGAGCTCTGGCACTGTTCCCCACCTCCAGGGGAGCCTGGAGAGTCAGGCTCAGGGGGGAGCAGAGTGCTTTGCTACCACTGGAACTTGCCAGGGTGCAGCCCCAGTGCTGTCTAGTGCAAACCAAGCCTCCCCCGAGCCCTGGCTCCAGGGCAGAGGGGAGTAAGGAGTGCATGCAGTGTGCCCAGGGGCTCTAGACAGCCCGTTTCCCACCCTACAAACCTGCTGAGCTCCGTGGGGGATGACAGGCCAACACACCTACTTGATTCAAAGTTGGGTGAATCCCCAGGAGCCCTGTGGGACCCTGAGCCTTTGCTCGCCTGCCTGGTACAGCCGAGTCAGTGGCAGGAGGGATGCGCTGCTCCCAGTCCCTGCTGGGGCAGCACCCCAGGCCAGCTGGCGTCAGCGTGGTCTAGCAGAGAAGCAAGGCACTAGTGTCTCAGTGAAGGTCTGTCTGGCCCTGGAAAAGGCAGCCCAGGGTGCGTTGAAATCGAGTAGCGGAGTGTTTGCCCTGCATGGATTATTCTGACATCTCTCTCCTTCTGCCAAGTACAAGATTAAGCACAGAAACCAAAACTACAGCAGTGAAGTATCTGAGGTTTAATTAAGGCCAACCCTGTTACGCATCCCTTTTTTAGCATCACAATCCTTGGAGAACTCTGGTTGTGAGTTGCCATGCGAATAGCTGATTTGCTGCCAGAGCCTGGACCATGCTGGTTTAAGCGCAGGGTGTGATGTAGGGCTTTGCGGCAGGCTGCTGTAATAGGGTTCAGCTAAACTAGGTCTTGCTATCTGTCTGTATGTGGAAATCAGGTCGGGTTTATCCCGTTAATTGTTGTTAAAAGCACAGAGAGGACTTAGCAGGCAGGAGGCAGGGTGTGCTGGGGACCGGCCAGCCGCACGGTGGAGCTGCCACCTCAGCTCTGCTGACACCGTGGTCGTTGGCAGCAGATAGCAGAGCTGTTTCTGGGACATTCAAGACTGACCTTCCAAAACCAGCCTTTGCTGCCCGTCATCCCCCAGCAGCATGGCAGCAGCACACGCTTCTGAGGTGCTCTGAGCTGGGGAGGAAGCAGGGTGGCCTGGCAAAGCTGGAGGGAGAGGACTAGGACATGGTGCCGAGACATCGTTTGCCTGGGCTAGCATCCAGCCACACCTGGGGTCTGGCACCGCATGCTTGCCGGGCTCGCTCAGGTTCCTGGTGGCACAAACCCACCGTTCCCAGCTCACAGGGGGCAGGCACAGGAGCACTAAGCTGGCCATAGCCCCTTGGAGAGGGCAACAGCTCCCGTGTGGGGAAATTCTCCGTTGTGAATGCCCCAAAGCTGCTGGGTCAGTCCTGGGGGCCTTCTGCCAGGATCATGGTGCCAGAGCCAAGCGATAAAGCCACTACATGAGCAAGAGCGAGAGAGTCCTCTTCTTCAAGGGGCTCCCCCCAGGACCCACAGGGAACTGCTGGTAGTCTCAGCCCTTTGCTGTAGCTGCTTCCCATCCCAAAGGAGGGCTGGGGCCAGCCTGATTGTAGCCCAGCAGCAGAAAGGCACCTGGCTGCCGATATGGCACCGGGGAACTTCACGCCTAGCACTGCGTCCTGTTTGGAATCCTGCTCCTGGGTGCCCATGCTGCCTTTACCAGAGCTGGGAACCCTCTTCCAGCCTGATGTGCCAGCACCTCAGGTGGCCACTGCTACAGTGAAGGCCAGGCCCGCCCCACATGCTAATCTTTAAATCCCAAAGGTGTTTCAAGCCTTCTGCCTGCCAGCGTGAGAGATCACACAGAGCTGCCAGCCTTGAGGAACAGAAGCCTGCCTACAGCCCCCCGTGGGGGGGAGCAGCCCTTTCCCGTCCCCTGCCAGAGGGGACAAAGGAACAGGAAAGCTCCTGAGAAGGACGACCCAAGGGTATGAGTCCAGGCAACTGATCAGGAATGATGCTCCCAGCCAGTGCAGAGGGAGAAGCGTGCACGACCCTTGCATATCCTTTCCTCTGCTGCAGCAAGATGTCAAAAAAGCAAATCAAGGGCAGTTGTGGAGTCCTGGTCCTCCCTCTTGCACTCCAGGCTCCCCAAGGGCAGCCTTAAGCAGAGCTGTGCTTGCAAGCTTCTGCAGAAGGACCCTTGTACCACAAGAACTAGGAGGAAGAGGAGCTGGAGCTGATTTTTTTGGCTATTTCCATGTCTGACTTGGCAACCAGAAACCGCAGCTTCTTCCCTCCGGAGCGGATGAGGTCCACTGCACTGCAGAGAGCGGCAACAGGGAGAGAGGTGAATTCTGGCTCCCCGAAGGCTGGCAGCCCCCCAAGGAGCCTACCAGGTCATGGACATTTGTAAAACACACCCCCATTTGCAGAACACCACCGCCCCCCACCCCCCGCTTTGTGCCTGGTCAGTGTTACAAGCAGGGGCTGTTTCTCTTCTGCCTGTAGCTTTGCGGGGAGCCTGGCCTCCGTTCAAGTGCTGCCAGGACGGGCAAATGAGCCCGGAGCTGTTCTGCCCTGTGGGCACCTGGGCTCTGCCTTGCACAGCCAGGCAGGGTGCAAGTTGCTCCATCCCACTTTGAGAAGGAAACGGGGGTGGGATGGGCTGGAGCAGGTCTGCATTGCTGAGACCCACCCCTGGGGCTCTCACTTATTTCCCAAACATGCTCTCCAGCTTTTGCTCCCAGATCCTTCTTCCAAACCCCTCCACCCAGCTGCCTTCCCCCTTTTCCAGTGTCCTGCACAAGTCACTCCTCTCTCTGCAGCTTGCCTGTACCACAGCGGTACCGCAGCATCCTCTGCGTTGTTGGCCAGGACCGTAGCACCAGGCAGGCGGAGATCCTGTGCAGCTCTTTGCTGCAAAACCTGGACTTGAGCATCAACTCTCACGGTGCCGATACCAGCCCGGGCCCTCTGGTGAGGTGCAACTCACCTTTGGTAGTCTGCCCCGATGAGACTGGTGCCGTTGACAGCCAGGATGCGGTCCCCAATGGAGAGCCTGCCGTCGGTGGCCGCGGGGCTGTCCTCGATCAGAGTGCGGATGTAGATCCCCGGGGAGCAGAGAGGAGTGTGCTGTTGGTGGGGAAAGGCGGTGAGCGACTGGCCAGGGCGGAGGGGACACACAGAAGGGTTGTGGTCCTAAAGGGCTGAGCTCCCCAGGCAGGGGGACTGCTCACAGCCCAGTGGGTGCCTGATGCCTGGAGGTGTTGGGGAACGTGATGGGTGGGTGCCGGGGACGGTGTCGCTAACAGGAAGGAAACATCAGCCTTCAGTTTTATATTAATTTATACACAGAAAGGAGAGGTGGGGGCAATCTTTTCTTGTTCAGTTTTAATTAAGAGTAAAGCATCGCTAACCTGCAGCCATCCTGGGATGGGAGCTCTTTGCTCACGGCTGTCCCAGGGGCTCGGTGATGCCCTGTTTCCTACTGACTAATGCATGGCCGTGAGAGGCCACTTAGGAAGATGAGCCACCGCACTCCGCCAGATTGCAACGCCGCCTTATGCACCTCAGCTGAGTCATTTTCCTTCCACCAGAGCGCTGAGCTTGTTCGCTCTCTCTGGCTGCAGGACAGTTGCGATGGACTTTGTGTGCATGGCATTCTGTGCTTCATTTTCCCCAGGAGAAGCAGCCTAGCTCCCATGGGAAGCCATTAGCATCTTTGCTGGCTTTTCTTGGGGTATAAAACGTGTCCCACGTGTCCCAGTCCAGCTATTTGGAGGGGCAACAGCCCTGTCCTGCGATCGGTGAGAACTCACCAGGCCGTCGATCAGTCCCATCCCCAGCCCGATAGGTCCCCTCTCCAGCTCCACCACAAAGACGTAGCAGAAGTCATCGGTGGCAGAGCTGCGGCTGGAAGACTCTGGCGTGGGGTAGTCATAGGGGGTCGGTGAGCATCCTGGCAGCGGAGAGATCGGCTTACTGCTCTGGCATCACCCAAACCCAGCCTCACAGCCTCCCACAGAACGCTGCCCCCCCAAAATGCCATCAAAGCCGACCTTGGGTAGCCCCAGGGCTGGCTTTCTGCCAGGACAGGAGCTGGATGAGATGCTTCATTTGCTCTCACCTGCCTTGACCAAGCACTGACACATTCCCGCAGGAACCACGTGTGCGGGGAGGGCTGCGCAGGAGAAGGGCAGCAAACACCCCCGTGCCCCAGTCCTGCACCTCCAAAGCAGGGCAGCACCAGCTTTTGGTACCTTCAGGGGTGCTGCCTTTGGTGCCGTTCATCCCATTCCTCCGGGTGTCCTGCAGCCCCTTGCCGGTGCCCTGTGGGGACTCTGGGCTCTCGAAGTTCAGGGGGGTGGTGGGCGGCGTCAGCAGGCAGGAGGGGTCTGTGGGCACCGCACCAGCCTTGGTGGCCGGACCCCTGCCCAGCTGCAGTTGCCTGCCCTGGAGCAGTGGCTCGCGAGTGGGGTGCTCGCAGGGGCAGCCGTTGGGGGCCAGGCAGAGCAGGGGGCTCCCCTCTGGCTCAGCGCAGCCCCCCGAGGAGCAGCAGTCCTCCTGGGTGACAGCGCTCCCCAGGGCAGCAGCCGGGCTCTCGCTCACCTCCAGGACATCTGGCGTCGTGCATGCCCCTTTCTTAAGGAGGGGAAAAATGTTCTGTGGGACCCCCCCCCCACCTGCACTTTTCACCCCCTGCCTGCACCCCACCACCCTGTCTGCTTTGCAGGCAGGACGGCTGCTGGCACCAGCCAAAGCCTTGGCAATTTGGATGCCGTCAGGGCTCATCCTGGCTTCCCAGCACAGCTCCCACACCTCAGTTTTTGTGGCCAGGGCCAGTGCTGGGGATGCTCAGAGCCAGCCAGGAGGGGACTCTCGGTCATGTCCCCGCTGGGGGACCTCATTGGAGGGGGACACTGGGGGAGCACAGCTCCTTCTGTGGCCCCAGAGCTGGGTGACGTGGCCCCAGGGTGACGGGAGGAGGTAGCGGTGCCCATGGGTGCTGCAGTCGATGGGTACAGGGTGGGACAGGAGAAGGGGACCTGCTGGGGGGGGGACCTCCTCCCCAGGGAGCTGGAGACGAATGGCAGCTGAGCTCAGCACCCGCAGGACATCTCACACACACACACACACACCCCCCGTGCTTTACAGGCATTAGCTCGTTAGTGCTTTTGTGCAAGCCTGCCTGGCTGCGTGGGGACAGGCAGCGTGCAGGGCAGGGAGGACGGGGGAAACCTGGAGGAAGAAGGGGAGCGCTGCCTGCAGACGCCCCCCCCTTCCTCCCCTCTAACGAGATTGCTGGGACGAGCCTGTCCTTCCAGCTCACCTTCCCACACCCCCCAGGCTGGGGGATTAGCAGCACTAATCCTTCCAGCAGCTCTACAGGAGGGCATCACCGCAGCTCTGGGCTGCAGGCGGGGGCAGCAAGCCCTTGACACTGGGCTCAGCAGGGTCTCCAGAGGGACCCAAGACCCTCCTGCCCACCCAGGAGAGGAATAGTCCCTCCATGGGGTACAGGCTACCTTTGGGGGTGCTGAGCCTGGCTCCTCGCTGGTGTGGGGGCTCTTGCTCTGCAGGCTCCAGAGGAAGTGGCGGATGTAAAGGAGGTGCCGGTAGATGTTGTCATCCAACGTCTCCACCTCCAGGTCCACTTTGAAGCCCCCGCTGGGCAGGATGATGGGTGGGTGATTGTCGAAGGACTCCAGCATCTCATCTGAAAGGCAGAGGGAGGGAGGCTAGCACTGGCCTGGGCTGCACCCTGCTCCTGGCTCTTGGCCACGTGCAGTCTCCCAGCCAGGATCGGGGACAAGGTGAGCCACAAGGCAGCAGCATCCCTCACTTGGGAATGCAGAAAGAGCCCCAAACCCTTCTGAGTGCGCTTTACATCTTCTGCAATATCCGAATTGCAGGCCCATGGTTATTCCTGATTGCTGCAGTTACTACAGGAGCCCCAGGGAGGGGAATTGCCTGTTTGGTTTGTACATAAAAACTTTGGAGGGAGCCTGTGGGTGACCAGAGCACAGCGACTGGAGCAGCGTGAAGCCAGGGGCTCACCAGGCTGGAAGGCGGCCGGGCTCTCCTCCTCGCTGGGCTGCCACGCTGCGATGCAGCCCACATCCATCACCGCCTGGCACTGGCTCAGCACCCGGTGGAGCTGCGCGGGGCTCAGTGCAGGGAACTCAGCTCGCAGGGACGGCCAGGTCATCTGAGCGAGGAGACAGAGCGTGGGGCGAACGGCAGAGGTGAGGAGCTGCGTTCTCCGAGGAGCAGGGGCTCGTGAGGGGGATGGGAGGAAGAGGCCGGGCAAGAAGGAGCGAGCCTGAGCATCCCCTCCTCAGTACTGCCCACCCACAGACCCACCACCCTGGGAAGGGGCAGCTGGTGACAGGTTGCAGCAGAAGGGATGTATCACTGCAGGGACCCCCAAATGCCAAGCAGGGTCTCTCCTGCCCGTGCCCATCCCGATGCCACGAGCTCCCGGCCGGGCACCCCTCACCTGGACCATCTGGGAGCCAGGCATGGCCAGCAGGTTGGCCACACTGGCGAGTTTGGCGAAGAACTGCTGGGCGAGCTGCTCGAAGCCGGCGCCGCGCAGCCACTCCCGGAGCGGCCCGACGCTGGCC